CCTAATACCCTGCTTGAGCCAAACTGAATTATTTACAGACTATTTTCTATTAATGGTCCATGCTTTTCCTATCTTTGGGCATTATTTTCCACTGAGCTTCTTTCTCCCAACCACTTTCCTTATGCCTCACTTCTAAGTTTCCAGACCAGTCTTTGCTCTGTTCAAAAGCTACCTTGTGTTTAGTCTTTTTTGATTCCTTTAGCGGGTTTCACCTTTTTCAGTAACACTTATCTGCTCCTCTCTGTGGTTTATCACCTCTACTGGGGAGACGTACCATTAGAGGAGGCCCTACATCTAACTTACCAGAGGCCCTATAGTTATAATATAATGACTTATAAACAGAAAGTGTTCAATCCATGTTTTATTGAATAAATGAATGACTGATAGGGAAAAATGTTCCCTAAGGTAATAGTATAAGAATTGGAAGGGAATGATGTTGATAAGAAAGAGACATTTCATCTCTGAGATTAATCATTTGTTTAAGATATAATAAACTCACCTGTAATTTGTGTATAGTCATGCTGAAGAAGGAAGCACAGAGTTTTTTGATAATGTGGAGTCAAGAGAGGTGACAGGTGTTGAAAACTTGTATTGTCCTTTAAAGTGACCACACACTCTGGATCACTTGGATAGTACCAGTTTATATATTTTGTTTCAGCATAGCACTCTTAAAAGTGTCCCATGTTAAATGCTGTTATATGGTCACCCTATTTATCAAATACTTCTTTGACATTTTTAGACTGGTGGGTCCTTGTGCTTGTGAAACTTGTGGCATAGGCTAATGTATGGCATAATAGACTTGTAGTTAGCCAGACGTGTGTATAAATTCCATCTTTGTCACTTACTAGAAATATAATCTGGACAAGTTTCCAAGACCTCTGTGAGCACCCTTATATATGGCTGTTGTGTTCAGAACAGAAACTGGAGATCTTGAATATGGAAATTCTCAGTAATGTCCAAGTTTCAGTATTTATAACCCTACAGAGGTTTTATTAGGGGCCAGATATGTCTAGGGTAGTAGAGAAAGAAATATTTCAGAGTTGTTAAATCTCCAGTCTTCTGCATTAAAGATCACACAACCAAATATAAGGGCATGGTTCTTGCTAGTTGGCTGTTTCACCTGGTTATCAATAGAAAGGCAAAAGATCACAGAAATTGGATTCTAGCCTCATCATTTGTCTTTTTCAGTGAGAAGAGTGGGCACAACAGGGCATGAAGTTTATATATTTCCCTTTTACTATAAATTTAGAGTTCCAACCAAGTCTGAATTTAGGACTTCTAGATTTTTTATTCATTACAAAGAAGGAAAAAGTGCCTGTATTATAAAATATTTCCAATTGGGAATAGATCAAGGGATTGCGAAGAACGATCAGATCAAATTTATCTGCTAGAAATATGACTCTGATGAAAAAAAAAATCCAGGGAGTATTTTTCAAGTAGGCATTTATATTTCAGTGATTAAGAAACAATTCTAGAGCCAGGCTGTTGGAGTTTGATCATTACTCTACCACTTTCTAACCAAAGGGTCTTGGTTATGTTATTTAAACTTCTCAGTTTTCTTATATGTAAATAGGGATTAAAAAAAAAAAAAAAGCCTGTCTTATTGGTTGGTTCTGACAATTAAATTTGTTAATATTGTAAAATTCTTAGAATACTTTCTAGCCAATAGCCAGCATGCTTATGCACTAAATATTATTTAAGCACTTGAGGGTAATAAGTACTCTCCCTTATCTTTGTGTTTAGGTTGAGAAGATGAGACTTTTGTGGTGTGTAATGAGTCTCTCCTTCTATGGGATCCTGCAAAGTGATACTTCAGGTAAGTGAATGGCTTTTGACAATCTATTGAAATCCAAGTCATGCATAGGGTAATATCTCAAGTCTTTCGGAAAATGAGTTAATGTTGTTTATTTTCATTGTCTTCTGTGGTAGTACAGAATCATAGATTTGACAGAATTATAGAATGTTGATAATGGGAGGAACCACTGACATCTCTAGTCGTTATGGGTCACAGTGCACTTAGGGCAGTGGTCTGAATGTGCATTAATATAGAAATTTTCTATCACTTTCACATTTAAGCCAACTAGAATCCTGCTTCTTTTCCTTGGTTCAGGTCCTGTGAGAAAATAAATGACAGTGATGGTAGCAGCACTCTGTTTTCTAAACCTGAGCCAGTGGTGGAGAGGCCTTGGTGGTAACAGTCCATTGAGACCTTATCAAAACAAATAAATAATGATGAGTTTCCATCTCACTGCTTCTAGATAGGAAATATAGGACATGTCATTAAGTTCATTCTTTCTTTGGTTCGTAAGAGGACCCAGCCAAAGCCTTCATTGGATTTGAATAACCAAACTCAATGCTCATGAATCTGGATCACATGAAATCTGAGTTACAAGGGACTTGAAAATCCACTTTTTCAGGTCTCCTCTCATCTCCAGAATTACTGTTGAGAACCATTTCATGGTACCTCTAAGTAGTAATACCTGATTGCAGCCCATTATGTCTTTGGACTGACCAAATTCTTAGAAAGATTTTAGTACATATAAGTGAAATTTGTCTCCTTGTCATTTCCATACATTTCTTTGGTTCAACTGCTTGCTTTAAATAGAAATACATAATCCAATCATTTTCAATTTTAATGCAAGGAACCTATCTTTTTTTTAAATTTAAAAAAAGCTTTCCACAGATAATTCCCTGAAGATCATGGGCTATACTTTGATTATCATTGAGTTATATCCTCTATGTGAGAGGCCCTCAGAAATGTTAAAACAGTAATCATATAACCATGACCATGTTCTCTAACATATGCCGTCATCTATTCTTTACATGGCATGAATTTGAGCCCTTTCACCATCGTGCTCACATTTTCTTGGTGTGTTTCAGTTTTGCTATGCTTCTTAAAGCATTTTATTAGAAACCAAAAATAGCACTAAAGGAGGAGTATAACTAGGATGGAGTCAACTCAAAGCTGAGAGAAGTAGATAACTTCCAATCTTGTTGGCCCTGGGATCTTCACAGAGGAAAACATTTATTATAACCAGGGTTGATACTCAGCTGGGGTACACTATAATACGGTCCACTGGCTGTTTATACAAGCATCTGTCCTGTTTAGCTGAATGTCCCATTTCACTGATCAGTGCCACGATGCCTTGATTTTTAAATATGTGAAATAATAATTGACACATAGACACATAATAGGTGCTCTCTCCCTCTCTCTCTCTCTCTCTCTGTCTCTCTCTCTCTCTCTAAACATAATGAAACTTCAATACAATTGAAATGCTTGGACTTGTGTATTATTAATTAGTTTCTCTCTCTCTCTCTCCCCCTCTCTCTCTCTCTCTCTCTCGCATACACACATATGTTCTTTCACACGCATTTTTGGGCCAGATTGGCCAACTGGCCAGTTTTATAATGGATTCATACCAGTAATTCATCAGTGTGATTTTATGTGTTGCCTCACGTTGAAGGAAAAGGGGAGAGGTGAGTGCGTTACTCTTGTTGAGAGAATTGCGAAGTCTCAGAAGGTAGTGGGTGCTGGTGCTTTCTCAGCAGTCCTGGCAGTGTTGCTTATCCTAATGACCTTTACTGTAATCCATCCAAGGAGCACCCCCCACTCCTAATTCTGTTGGAAAGTGAGCTTTCTACCCAGAAACTGTGACTCATAACTCTGCTGGGGAAGCTGACTTCTTGAATAAGATAAGTTCTCATACCAGCCCCATTGAGTCACTACAGGAGGAGGAAACATGTTGTAATCCCCTCAGCCCATCTGGCACATATTCATTCACTTCCTTATGAAAAGGTGTATTGTGTCTGTGTCAGTGATGTACTTCCTAGTTGGAGGGAAAGGAACAAAAAGGAAGTGTTGTTGATAAGAATAAAAGGGCAACTGGCTCTGGGCTACTAGGGGAAAAAAAGGATCATGGCACATGCTGAGAGACCAACCAACCTTTCATGCATCAAGGTACCGCCTCTTACTATGATGTAGATGCTGGCAGACTTGTTGGTCTTTCATGAAGCTCTTCCTGTGCTTCAGGTTCCCATCTTAATGGAATCACAAAATTGATGTGAGGAACAAAAGAGAAATAGCCTGAAAACCCCACAGCACTGTAAATATATATGACATTAGTAAAAGTTTTGTCTTGTTTTTCTCGGCCCTTCCATGTGGCACCTCCTCTTCAGAGAAGCCCTAAATTTAAAAAAGGAGCTCTAACAACATAAGAACTTTCCTTCCATGCAGTGTTTCAAATGCCGTGAATTGGACATCAAGCCACACAATTCTGACTTCAGAAAGTAGTCTTTCTGGAAGGCAGCTCTTCTAACCACTATACCACCAATGCCAGAACATAGTCTTTCTGGTAGCAGTACTGTGATTTCCTTATTTGCTCAGGAATTTGGAGTGTGATTTTCATCTCAGGTGGTGATAAAAGCCAATAATCAAAAGCAAGCATCTACTTTCTTTTAAGGAACTAAAGCTTGGATAATTACAATAGCGATAATATAATTATAATGTGTTAGTTATAATGGTAATAATAAAGCTCTCTTTTCTGAAAAATCACTTTACATTTCACATATTTTATGTCATTTGACTCTCACACCCAGACCGTAGAGTAGTCAGACTGTTATAACTCCCTTTTTTTAGATAAGAAAAAAAGAATCAAAGTGGTTAAGTGAATTAGCCAAAGTCCCACAGCTAATACTTAGCATAACTGTGACTTCAACTGGTTCCTCAGTTCCCAAGATGCATGCTGTTTTTACTAAATATACTCTCTCTTGGACTCTACTAGAATATATACAATTTAGAAAGAAGATTAAGATTAATTCTAGGGGTCACAAGTTTTGCCGTTAAAGAAACACTCAGTAATAGATTTCTGTGCTTTTTAGATAAGGAGTATCTTTGCGTCCCCCCCTCCCAATATATTATTTTTTAAGAGAAAAATCACTGTAATGTAAGCTCAAAACGCAATATTCCAATTTTTTGCTTGTTATTGTATTAAACATTTCCAACACTAAACCCAAAGAAATTCTCCTTTGCAAGAATTCCAAAAGCAAACTTCGACTCATCACACATTTCTCTTTTGGTGTTTTATTGGCAGCGTGTTAGAAAGCCAAACCGTTAAAGCTGACTTTAGAACAGGAATAAATATTGGAACTTGTGATTTCCAAGTTGGAGAGTAAGAATAGCACCATATATAATATGGTGAATTTAAAAAATATTGCCATATCAAAATTATTTGCTACACAGAGCACTTAAGGATGAGAGCAATGTATTTTCTTCTCCAAATGCATATACACCCAGATCAGTGAATACAGCTTTCTTTTTTAAAGTCAACGGACAGTTGACTATGCACTAGGTGTAGGGCTGGATTTCACACACATTATCATTAACTTTACAGAAAACACTGTAGGGAGGCGTGGGAGCTAGAGATTCTTAGACTGGTTTTGTAGATTAGGAAAGGAAGAGCCAGGGGAGTGGCCTAAGCTAACAGTACTCATGGTGGCATGGCTGATAGAGCTGGGATTTGAAGGCTACCCTTGACTCCAGAACCAGAGCTCTTTCCTTTAGAACACATTTTCTTTAGTTCCTTTAGGACTTGTTCTGCTAATGGAGGTAAATTCCTCTGATTTCTTTTCCATTTTTTTATAAGAAATTTGCAGAGGGTGGAAATAATCTTTTGGCTTATTGAGAGTGAATAATAGTAAATAAATAATAACCAAAAACACTGTATTTTACCAGGAAATAAGAAACATTGGGTTAAGTTATGACTGTTTCACTTTGTGAGTTGTGTAATGACGTAAAAGAAGTCATCTAATCACTCTGTGTCACTTTGTCCTTGCCTATAAACCAAACCAACCAACCAACCAATGACAGCAAAGCCCCAACCAATTCTGCCTTGTGTTTTTATTAATGAGCGTTATGGATATTATTAGACCTCATGGACATACATCACCTATGCTCTTCCTATTTAATTAAGTAATTTCTGATGACAAGTATTTCATACAGTGATTTCACTTCATTCTAAAGATCAGATGTTTGACCATTTTATAGTATAGAATCCAGGGTAAATAGGGAAGGTTCTTACTGTATGCATCTTACATTAAAATCTGAGAGAAAGAAGAGAAGGTTACTAGCCTATAGAGAGGTACTAGAGAAGACTTCTCAATCAAAGATCAGTTGCTCTATGGAAGAGAAAATGCATCTCTTATTTGGGAGCAGAATAGTGAGGTGTGACTGAAGGGACAATGCGAAGGCAATTTAGGAGCCAAGCTGGAAAGGCAGGCTGGGAACAGACTACGGAGGACAGGAATCCCTACAGAGAAAGAGAATATTTGTGTTTAATGTATTTTAGATATAGTTGGCTAGTTCTTTCTTCTTTTTTAAATTTTGTCTTACTTTTATAAGGACATGTAATATTTTTAATGCAATGTAATGGTTTTCTTAGCTTTTATCAGGATTCAATTTGTTGTCAGGCCCAGTGGCCTCATGTTATTGAATGTGATTTTTGAAAAACTATATTTAGATGTACTTGTGACATTCAGTCCTGTCTCTGTTGCTCATGGCTGGTCATCCTGAACACCCTTCGTTTCTATGCAATTTAGTTCAAACATTTGAAGAATGTCTGAAGAATATAGTTTCATTTTATTCTTAGACCTAAAGGTCATTGGGATTATAACATTTCACCCTGTTGTCCTTTAAATGCTGCCACTTGGGAGCACGCAGCTTCACTTTTTTTTCTTCTTTTGTTTTGTTTTTGAGCTGCATTTGTATTTTGAAACACACTAATGTTCATTTTTAAGTTACTTATACTTCCCAAGGGTGTG